TTCTTCCTATTCTGTGTACGTTGTTGGTCATCTTCCAGGAGTAAAAAAAAACCAAGTACAGGCGTTCCTCGGTGTATGTCGTCCTCGAACTACGGATGTTCGCAGTCACATCGCCATCTCCCAAAGATTTATTTTAGAAAGTCCAGTTCCGCCATTCCGACATATGGCATTAAAAAAACTAGTACGCACGGTAGCGAGCGGAGCTAAACGTGTTAGACGGTCACCACAGTGGATCGTGCTTCACTTCACTCTGTTGTTTTGAAACTTTTCGCCCTTCATTTTGGCTCCGGGGCTTAAATGAGACTTTTCTGACGTTTTTATGTCCTAAATTGTGATGTTACCACTGTGTTAGCGTAGCTGAGTGACTTAGATACGGAACTGTGACGTAAGTGGAGGAGCCCCTGTTTACCAAGATACCAAAGTGAAATGGACACAGTAGACAGTAGTAATGCAACAAATATAATGCAGAGCTCCATGCTAAAGAATCATGGGAAAGCAGGGTGGGGTTAGGTTAGCCTAGCCAGGAAGTGCAGCTACGTTCACAAACATGATAAATTCAAACCTGTTTGATCTTATTATTATCAACTCATGGGGAAATGTTCTAGACATTTCTGCCCTAAACCTTTGTCTCTTGGTTTTTTTTTTTGTCTTGGTTTTTATTGGGTATTTTCAAATGTCTAGACCTGCAGAATGGACAAGACCATTACCACACACTACAACTTCATTTACAGTGTGTTTTTGTGACCTGCCAGAGAAGTCAATAATATGCAAAACAGTTACATAACATTTCTAAATTATTAACTTCTTTATGTGGCTGAGACACAGACTTGGAGATCTAAATACCTTATGTAAGGTCTTGTATTATTGAAGAGGACACGTTTTGATGGTGTCTCTGCTGAGGTCCAAGTGTGAGCCTATAATTGCCTTCTGCTTGAGATGTGCACCTTGTTAAAGGCATGCAAAGGGGGAAAAAATATATATAAAAAATATCTCGAGAAGAAGAGGGGCCGTTTAATGACTTATTCGCTGCAGTACAAAAACAAGTGGAATGCCACTGATGCATTTACACTGTGTAATAAAAAAAATATATCAGGGTGTAAATGTTTTAAACCCCCTTAGCAGAGCCACACTTCAGACTTCAGTTAGTGGGTAAAGAAATCAGACCACGGGTTAGTTTAGGACTGTGTAAGAATTAGAGGATTGAATAAAAGACTCTGTTTATCGTCGCTTTACTAATCTAGGATGCCAAATAACTGGGAACGGTTGGGTTTTCCCAAAGAGAACATTTTAAGGTTTGAAATACATTTTCCGACTTATGATTTAAATGTGTTTAACACAGGCAAAAATCCAGTCAGCTGAATGGTTCCTTGTCCCAATCACTAATCGTAAATTGTTGTTTAGGCTCTGATTTTGAGTGTTATTCAGGTAAGGAGGTAGCCTGGGGTTTTGGGCAAGTTATTCACCCTTAACATAAGGTATAAATGATGGGAGGCAATAGATTTCGTTTATATGAGTGAAATAAATGAAATGAATAAATGCTATTGTACTTTACTCTACGCTAAATGACGTTTTGCCACACCTCCTCATTTTGTCACAGGCCGTTCCCTGGCTAAATCTGCCCTAGTGTGAACTTGTCTGTGTTGAATAAGAGCACATTCTGCGGGGACATCAAGTGCCTCAACAGCATCCTGAGTGCATGCTCGTTTAACATGGTGCTCTTCACATATGAGGCTTGAAATATTCCCCTGTGTGGACCTGACAGTTCCTTTACCTGCGTCATTGAAGGCTTAGACAAGATACTGATTGATTGCTTTCAGCAGGGGAGCGGCGATGAAAATATCTACAGTCCTGTGAAGAAACAGAAACAGCACCCTGGGCCTGGTCTTCATATTTTTTGATCAACATTTGTTCTGCCCTACTTAACCCGCAAAAGTGGTATAGAAGAGCAGGGAGCGGTATAATTTATAACAAATGTTTAAATATTAAATGCAACCTTTGCATTGAGGTAAGGAGGTGTCCTGAGGTTCAGGAGTTTTTTTTTCTCTGTCAGGAATTCTTTTCAGCAGATCACAGTGTCCTAAGGTTTCGTTTTTTAAATTGATACTGAATTCTTTTTTTCTTTTTTTTGTGAACGAAATAAATCACATACTGTTGTATTTTACTTTACTGTTCAACTACCAGAAGTTCTTTTTAAAAGATCACAGTGTCCAAAGAGCAATTTTGTTCCCTTCCGTTAAATTTCACGGAAACTTTTGAAAAAACAAAAAACAAAAAAAATCTTTTAATAGTCACGTTAAAAAGTTAATTAGTGAATTAAACAGAGCGTCGAAAGCATCATCGACTTTGTTGATGCAATAAGCCCAAATAAGAAAGAGGACAGACGGGGACGTGAGCAAGCTGAGCTTTATGTGCCAAAGTGTTGGAATCCAAATAAAACCAACAATCTGGATACAGCCTGCAGACAGTTACTGTCGCATCTCATTTTGAAATGTATTTTCGTGTGGCGAGAAATTAAAACCTATGTCGTGTTTCTGAAGTTTTGGGGGCTTTCTACTGATTTAGAACATCCTTGCTGGCACAACTGCAGTGGCAGGGAAGTCATAGCAACAACGAGAATGATATAAAAAAAAAAAGAAAAAAGGCAGACCAGCAGGGCTCCACACGCTGGAGACAAATCCCACTTAAGACATGGGTGTATATCATTTAGGGAACACTGTTATTACATTACAGATGTTTAGTTGAAGGTGTACTAAAACTGGTTTCAGGTTCGCCTAAACACTCAACAGTTTGCACGTCAGCATGGGATTCTCATGGCACAATCGAAAGGAGAGGAGGAAGAGGAGGGGGAGGAGGAGGAGGAGGACGGGGAGGAGAGAGAAAATCCTCTAACCTTGGGTGGATGCACTGCGTAGGTTTCCAGGGTCTTTTACTCAGGCTTCCAATAATATTGGTTAATGACTAGATTCCTCAAGCTTCTCTCAACTTTCATCATGAGTAGGCGTGGAGGAGTTTACAGCGGGGGTATATTGCTGCTGACAGAATACAGTGTTCTCCCTCTCTCTCTCTCCCTCTCTCTCTCTCTCTTTTAATTGTCATTCCCTGCTCACAGATACGTTTCTCTGGCAAATTCCCTTGAGAGAGGTTTCCCCAGAATCTACGTAAAAGGATTCCTTCCCACGCTATGGTCTTAGGAACATCTCATTTTCATCTTGTTGTGCCTTGCTTACACACACACACACACATAGAGTCAGAAACTGTCCTTATCTCTCCCACTTCTCTCTCTCTCTCTCTGTGTTTCTCCCTCTCACACACACACGCACACAATTTTCTAACCTCTCACACACACACACGCACACAATTTTCTAACTTCTCTGCCCCCCCCTTTCCATCTATCTTATAGATCCTCCGTGGGAGGCAGCATCTCCCTCACACTGCAGGCGTGGGCCCTTACTCTGACAAATGACATGCCGGGCCCACCAGCTTTGCGTGGGGGGAAGAGAAGCTTTAAGTTAAGAAGAAGGAAAGGATTTGACTGGATTCTGAAACTCAGGGGCTGTAGCTTAGCGAGCAGTATTTGATCGAGCTCAGGCAAGAAGCGAGAAAACACGGGGAGAACTGCGATACTACATCACACCTACAGCATGTTTTGAGAAATAATGGCTGCATTATAAACACCGCTCCAAATGGTCACGCTGGCAGCTGTGACACTGAAAACCCGTGGTAAAACATTACAGTGACAGAGTGTAAACAATTGTCTGGGCGGACGACGCAGCCGTAACTCGTGTTACGGTCTGGTCGATCCTTATCATTAAATCACCCACCGGTGTTCCTCTGCTAACCGCTGGGCCAGGGCGTATGCTTGGGGGTCTCGGTCTAAGGCCAGCACTTTGACTTCAGGGACCGTGTTCACGATTGCTGTGGTATGACCGCCACCTCCAAATGTCATGTCCAGGACCACCTACATGTGAGAAAGCAAGAAAACAACAACACATTTTTCTCACAACAGGACTCCATGTACATGATTCACCAGCTCATCATCACAATGTTAGTTATCTTCCCAGTGCTCACAGCTGAGCAGGGGCAAGTGGGACTTAAAAGTAAACTTTTCTGAATATGTGTCATCTCATCTGTTTTTTGTAAAGTAGAAGCTTGAAATATATTTTACAAAAAAGTAAAAAAAAAAAAAAAACGATTTTGAAGAGAACGAAAACTTTTTGTACTTTGACAACACGTACACAACTTCTGTGTTTTAAACATATGCAAATGAAAAAAAAAAGATTCTGATGCTTATGCTGTAGTCACAGATGCCAGAGGTTTATAACTAAGAAGAGCAATATAGACCACACAGTCAAGGCACAAGAATATTAGCCCTAAAAAAAAGACTAAATTCCTTCTCAATTAACATGTGTTTTGGACACAAAGCACAGACAATTAAACACCTTCCTCTTAAGAATGAATCAAGATCAAAAAAAGATCAGAAGGATTTCCTTAAAAAAACACAAGGTCAGAGTTATTATCGCAGTCAAGAGTGTTCACCTTTTCTGAACAACAGACTGCTGTCATTTCAGGCAGTTGTTTCCCAACATCATCTTTCAGACTTTTGGGGTCTTCAGGCTTGGATGTTGGTCTTCAGTTCTCTCATCTTAGATTTTCTTTAGTCAGTGATAACAATAACAATGTCCTCTGGCAGTGGGTATGCTTGAGGTGTATGCTTAAGGCCACTCTCGTGTTGGAAACACATCATCCACAGCATCCCTACAGCAACACAGTCCCAGTGACGGGTTTCTTGGTTTGTGTGTCTCTCACTTTATCCTCAAGGCTAAAGATTTATCAGCTAAGAACTCGCAGAAACCATTAGAACTCATTTACATCAATTGGGTTCCAATTAAAATATCCAAATACAAGTAGAATCATCTGTTCACACCACGAGGTGCTGGGTGCAGAAAAATGACTAGTGGTGCAATGAAAGTTTCCACAGACAACAGAAGAGCATGGTGGAGGTTCACTACTAGTCTAGGTATTCATTTTTTTGCAAATGGAGCCAGAAGTCTGGCCAGGAATAATGTTGGATAAAATAACCCAAAACCAAGAACTGTCTTCAGCATAAAGAAGAACCAGAACATCATGGAGTGTGTCTGTTTAAAAAGCTTTTTTGTAGCGTCTTTCCTTCAGAATCCTGGGTGACTAGAAACTTTGAGTCAAGCTAAGCAATACTGCTACTGCTTCAAACTCACACAGCTTCTTCATTTTTGCGAGGTTAAACCTGAGTATTGTATGGTATATAAAAATAGATTTACTGTTTCAATTTGAATGCCTCACGGTGCCTTTGAGGTTCATTTGATCTGCCATGAGTTTGTCAATCTACTACTTGTTAAAATAAATTTAGAAAAAAAACACTTGAACAATGATTCAATATGATCATTGTTGATTGTTGTTGGTAATGCAGCTGTCAATTGATTCAAACCTGTATTTGGATTAATCACATGGCAGCGGTGGTTAATCAGGATTAAGCATGGTTAATAGCTATTGTGATTTACCATGATTAATCCAGGTAAATTGTCATAGGTTTTACAGATGTTGTGAAGGTGGACGTGTTGATTGTTGCTATAAAAGTAGAAGAGGCGGGGGATAGACAAAGATGGAGACAGATGATCCACTGAACCCTGAAGGGAACAGTTGAAAGAAGAAGGTTCAACTGTTAAATATAACGAACACATTTTGGTTAAATACCTGTAAACAAAAAGTCACTTGTAAATGTCTTGTTTATCCAGATGATAAACTAGGCAGGACATTTACATGTAAAAACATTGATAGATCTAGATGGCAGCTCACCAACACAACGACTTTTTTCCTAATTTTACCCCAATTTCATTGTAATATCGGTTATGTCTGGTCACGTTTCTTGTTATTGTTATTCATGTAAAGTTAAGCTGTAAATTACGACCAGATTCTCTGTTTATCTAAATTCAAGTATCTTCGATCATTCCAACACCATTATGGTTAAGTTTGTATTTGCAACATTTCATTCATCCTACAACCCATTCAAATGATAAACAAGGCCTTTACAGTAGTGAATGGGGACACAGAGCTCTCACTAACACTGCAGTACAGTGATGTTTCCTGTAACAGACTGATGTAGGTGGCCTCAATTTTACCTGAAAAAAAAAAAACATTAACTCTTATGTCCTGATACTGCCACATGCTCCTGACTAAATATGTCATAGTAAAAGTATGATGTGTAATATGACCGACCATGTGCTTCCAGTCACTTTGTACCCTCAGAGCGGGAAACACTTGCTCAGTGTCCTCTGTTCTGACGTGTTGACCTCAAAATGCCAAACAAGGAAATGCAGTCTTTGAAAATAGTAAAAATAACCACCAAGTTACTAACTTGGTGGTTAAATACCACACACCACCACTAAAGGGTCAACAGTCCATCACAAGGTGACATACAGTGGAGACAAACAACCAATCTGTAATGTGACTATGCACATTAATATTGAAATAACATGTCAACTCTGCACAGAAAAAGGCAGTAATGTATGTGTGAAAAACGTATGGGTAGAAAAAGGTCGTTTTTTTCACTTTAAAGTTAAACAGTTCTTCGCCTCAGTGTACTACAATAATGTGCTGGTGGCAGCACTGATGAGAATCTAAAAAAGAATTAATTAAGTGAGAATATTAAAATCTGAAATGAAAAAGGTTTCTACATTAAACATTAGAATCAGTTATTTAATGCCATGACGTTAAAAATCATAATTTTAAGGAAAGATTGAAACTATTCTCTTTATTTGTAATGGAAGTTGATTCAATATCTTTCATCCATGTCATAAAAATAAGATGAAATACAAATAGTAATGACACTTTCATTGTGTCATTTGTTCTGAAAAATTAAGAACAGAAAAATAATTGTGTAACATTAAACCATTTATATCTCCAAAAATCCCCGTACTTTTAATGTGCGATGAGAATAAAAATCTGTACTTTGATAATCCCATAAACTTTCATTTAACACGAAGGGGGATTTAAGACATCAATGTCTGGAACACAGAGGAAAGATGAAATAAGTCAGAAAAGTCAGGCATGAAACACTCTGTCTGGTTCCTAAATTAGTAGGTTAAGTGGTGAGTTTTGAAAATCAAGATCAGGGACAAAGGGAAAAAGACTTTTCAAGGCAAGACAATCCTCCTCCGGAAGACTTTTCAAGGCAAGACAATCCTCCTGTCAATTAAAAAAAAAACTTTTCTCAGCACATGATTGTTTTTTTCCCCTTTCCTGTCTACAGTGGGCAACAGTACAGAGAGATAATTGGAGGCAGGAGAAGTCTGTATGAGTGAAGTCCAAGTGGTTAAAGTTGCTGCCGATCGTGTGTGAACCTCAAGTCTTATCAAGTATTTTCAGAAAGAGTTCCATGGACTCAGGACAACTTCAGGAAAACACTGTCTAGCTTTTCACAAAACAAGGGAATCTGCATACCATAGAATACCAATGCTGCACAGGACTACCACACATAATATTTACATACACTGGTCTGCCTGCAGGCCAGATCTGTTTCCTAGGTAAAATATCAAACGTCATAAAAATGAATACGAATCAAACAAAATTAGTCCCGGACTGTGTCGGACTGAGTTCTTGCCTCACTTACGCAGCAGAAAAGCGCAAAAAATGACATTTACAAAATTACAGCAATATGTACAAATATCTTCTCCCCAAAGTGTGGTGCGGGCAAACCTGGGGTATGCCACTAGGGGGTGCATGAGATAAAAAATGTGATGGAAGTTGGCGTTTTTTAGGTTTTTTTAAGTAATTTTTTCACACAACAAATACGTGCAAATTTGTAATTTTAATTAATAAATAAATGCAAGCTATAGTATATACTGTGTATGTGTCATATGTGTGTTGTGGTCATTTGAACAGTTGTGTTGCTTTTTTGGGAGGAAGGGGTGGGGCCGCCAAAAAAGTTTGGGAACTGCTGTTCAACACAGTTAAAAAGTTAGATGAAAACAAAAGTGTACGCCACCTGGTGGTCACCTCTTATTACAGACTGTATTGCAGGTATCAACATTTCGAATGTATAATAGATTAATCATGTTGATTTTTTTTATCATAGTTAGTAAGATAAGGTTTAACTGAGGAAACATTTTAGTCATCTGGGTGCTCCACTCCTCTGTATCAGTGGCATATGACGTTCAAAGTCCTGTCCGTGGATATTTTCTTATTCCTTGAACCATGTATTTGTTCAGTGATACACAAACGCACACAGACAAATCCCAACCCTGGACTGACTGAACACTCGGAGTCTGCTTGAATAATTGGCTGTATTATGCTCTACTTTTTCTCTTTTTCTTACATTTTTGCTCTGTGATTTATCATAATGTCAGCAAGCGGTGGAGAACAGATGTAAAATGACAGAAAAGGAAATGACAGCTCTTCCCCGCAAAAAAACATTAAACCTGTCGATCGATAGTGACGTTGAAGGTAGGGTGTGTGCGTGCATGTGTGAGGGAAGAAGTGATCAATGGCGGTTCCCTCTCCTTTCCAGTGCACAGCAGCAGATGGGGAGGGGGTGTGGGCTAGTGGGATGAGTCACACGCATAATGAACTTGCTTGTTGTGCTATTCAGTGCAAAAAAAAGGTAAAAGGAAAACAGAAATACAAACAGTAAGTAGGCAGGCTTTTTATTGAAACAGTCAACACAGACAACCAGAAGACAAACTGGTGCCCTACTGGGAAGAGTAGCACAACAATGTTTTGTCAAATTCAGAGACTTCAGCTGTGGCCAGAAGAAGAAAAAACAAGGTTCTTATTCCAGACCACCATCAGATTCTCAGACGTCTTAGAAGTTTGTCGGGTGAAAAGAAAACACTGAATATGTATTGTAGTTAGTGCTGCACCGAGAATTCACATTATCTGGTTTCATGGCGTTTAAGAATTTCACCTTATCCTACCTCACACACA